CTGAAACGCCCCTGGGGCTGTCGCAGCCTGCCCGAGGCTCCCCGAGGCATCTCCTGCAGCCCAGCCACGGCGGTGGGAGAGGGCGGGCCACGGGACCACGCTCACCTGAACCTTCTCATAGGGGACGTCATCGTATACCACACGGGAGGAGTCTGGCCGGTGGTCCTGGGAGGAGCTGGCCCACCTGCAAGAAGAGGGATGGGGTCTTCCTTTCCAGGACATCCTTGCCAGCCCCTCAGTGAGCCCTTCCTCCATTGCTCTCCCAGCTTCACTCACAAGCACTGTAGTCTACCCTACCATGCATTTCTCTGAAGTCCTTCATCAGCATTGACGAAACACCTTTGGCTTTCCATCCTGCCCAAGGGAAACTGCCTGCTTTGGGAACCACCAGCCATTGGGATCCTGGCTCTCCCTGAGATTATGGCACAAACCGTGTCCCAGCCCCTGCCTTTTTTATGGAACGCAATGTCCTGTCCCAACCACAGCCCCTTCCGAGCCCACGACACAGCAGGGGAACAGCCTTACAGGTAGGAGTGCCTCACGGCTGTCACTATGTTAGCAATTGTCTCCACATCCACATAGTCATAGTGCAAGGCCTCTGGTGCTGTCTGTGAGCCTGTCTCCACCAAAAGGAGACCCAGCCAGCGGCCCAGGTCTTCCGAGCAGCTTGCCTGCAGGAGAGAAGAAGGGTTGGGCTGCATGCCGAGCTCCTGGCCCCTTGATACTGCCTCCCAATGCAAAGTGCCATTGTGGAGGAAGGCCCTCTGACCTGAAGAGTGTGTGCAAGACTCAGTAGGGTCCGAGAGAAAGCATACAGGTGCGTGCAGGAGGTCCCAGCCCCAGAGCTCCAGCCACCCCCTCCAGCACGCCTGCTTCAGCCCTGGCAGCTTCCTCCCTGCCTCCAGCCTGCAAATACCGTTCGGCTGCCCCCAGCCCAGCCCAGTGATACCCTGAGCTTCCTTAACGTGCAGGGGAGGGGAAAACAAGGCACTGCTCGCATGCAAGCGTTGGTCATCCCAGGAGATGCTCCCCCAGCTTGGCAACCCCCTTCGCCCTGCCCGCCCCAGCTCCCGCTCACCTCCAGCGCGGCCACCTCCTGCCCGTTGCGAAGGATGCGGAAGGCGAAGGGGTGCTTGGGGCCCAGCCCCGGGACCACCTCGCAGCCCCGGAGCACGATGGCGTTCACGTGGGTCCGCAGGTCGGTGCGGTCCTTGTGGAAGTAGAGGGTGTTGCCCTTCAGGCGACACCAGCGCTCCTTCCAGCACTGGTTAACCAGGACGCTGAGGTGGCCTGGGGGTGGCAGGGCAGAAGGAAGGGTCTCAGCACCAGGTTGGCTGCACCTCGGACAGGCTTTGACGAGACATGGCTGCCCAGAGATTACAGGATGGCTCCCTACTCGTTTGGTCCTTCTGTGTCTCAGTTCCCCCACAGAGAGCCAGCTAGGACACTCTGGGCTCAGGTGAGGTGCCAGCTCACTGACACACATTCACCCAAGCCTGTTTTCTGTGACGTGGGTGACCCCTCAGCCCTTCCCCACACACTATGGGAGTCTGCAGAGCTGGGACTGGGCACCATTTTGTAACCTGCGGCAGTGCCACAACTCCCAGCAGCTCGGTGAGCTTGCCCCCACCTCACCACCTCCTTGCCCCCTCCTGCCCCAGTACGGTCAGGCTGGGGAGCAGGATGCCAGCTCCTCACCCTAGATGAGCCAAGCCCCGTCTCTGCCCCCCCAGCCCACACGAACCGCAGCAGGGGATGTCTTCCTCAGTGGAGGAGGTCTGTGTGTCCTCAGGAGAAGGCTTCTTCTTGGAGAAGCTGATGATCCTGGTGATCTTCTTCCCTGCTGCCCGACTCATTGAGCCCTTCAGGTCTGCCAAGCCGCTCTTTTTGCCTTTCCCTGGAAGGATGGGGTAGCTGTGTGGCCTCAGCGCACGTCACAGCATCCCCCTGCAGCAGGAGAGGATGCTGCCCAGCTGTGGGGCACACAGCCAGTCCCCCGGCCAGGGGACAGCCTGCCTGGCTGGGGACAGGGCCCGTACCGTGCTCGCCGGGCTCTCTGCGGGCTGCCGGGGAACCGGTCTCGCCCGTGGCCACGCTGTCGGAATCGGAGGTGTGCTTCTCCTGGGAGAGCCGCTGCGGAGGAGCGGAG